TTTTTGACGTTGTTTCTCTATTGGGCAAATTCTCAGCCTGAGCCTCGTTCTCTCTGGATTCCCTTTTGCTTGCTTTTCGGGAAGTTCTCTTCGCCTTCTCTGAGTGAAGCCATTCTGCAACTTGAGAAAGAAGTTTATCGCGGTGATGATGATGCTTTGATTCATCATTGGATTTTGAGACTTCTGGGGAAGGAACATCTCGACTTGGTTCTTCTAGGCTGTTCTGACTTCGGAGAGATAGTTTGGAGGAACTGGCAGAAGGCATGTTTGGTCGGCCTGTCATTCTTTTTGCAACACCGGCACTGAAATGTTTTATTCTTGAAGATTCGTCGGTAGGAGGAAGTTCGAATTCTTGTATGTCTTCTGGTTCTGGCTCCGCAATTGAGACGACTGAGAAGTTAAAAAGATAAGAGGTTAGCGAAAGGCTAGGGTCAATGAAAGTATTGAATAATTGTGAGAAATAATTGCAATTGCTAACCTTTAGTTGGTCCACTCTTGGGGCTATGAATGTCATCTGTATCTGCTCTCAATGCTGGTCTGCGAGGCACCGTCGGACTATTGACATCTGGGGGTGAATTCATCTTGCTGGATGATGATGCTGATACGAGTAATTATGAAATCAATGGAATATTCGATTTGTGTAAGGGAGGATTATTTGAAGTTTGGCGCTTTGAATCGCTCGTCGATCATATCTCCAAATCCCAAGCTCTCGCTTTTCTCTCACATGTATTGTGGGATAAAGCACTACCCCACCTTCGAGGAGCTGAATGCCACTTTTATTAGCTATTGTGGATGTGGATCGCAGAAGATTCTTGATTGTCTCCTAGCCGTATTAGTCTTCTCTTGCTTCTTCTTTACGAACCTTGGAAGTAGATGTGATGTGGGTTGGTGGATGCAAAGAAATAGATAGAAGTAAGTGAATTGTGCGAATTATTAGAGGATCGGGTCTGAGTGCTAGGAAATTCAATCTACGAAGTGTCGAGGGAGTATAAGCACCACTCGCAGTTAGTAACATAAAAATAGGTCAACAATGGAAAGGATCAAATCCGTCACTCAAAACAGGTATCCAGGGAATTGGCAGATACATACGATGTTTGTTTTCAAGGGTCCTATCCCCCGCCACCACATGTGATACTCAATTAACCAATGAAATATCAAGCGCAACAAAATAAACTGGGTATGCACGTGCACGTGCGTTCGATCTCTCTTTCATGCGTCATTCTTACATGCATTTGCATCTGTTTCGTCCCCTTTTATATCACAATCAAAAAACATACAACATATACAGCATGTTGGAATGGAGCAGATAGATAAACCTCCCGATGCATCAATCCTTGTGGTATTGTTGAAATATGACGGGAAAATGCGCTCCTAATACTTGCCAACGTGAGCGTTTATCGTAGATGGAAAACCCATCTAAAGAAAATGCCATGTGGCTCAGAAATGTTCATCAGAAAGATAATCCTACCGAGTACTCGGCAACCTTGCCATGGTCTGGGATGGCGTATCACCAACCTTTTGGCTGGAAATAGTCGCTATTTGGTGTTTCAATAATCATCTGCTCCCCGAAAGCATTTGGTATTCGCAGGGTTTCACACCAAGCAAGTCATCCGTCGTCTCTACAGAACACTACAATACATCCCACGTTTCAAAATCGTCCTCCCAGCTCTCTCCAGGTCTATTCATGATATGAGCATTATACGCAAACGACCAAGAACGGATTTAAAGTTGCAGGCAGAATACCAAGTACAACAGAACAATCAGCGATAATGGTGAAAAGTCAACCGTGACACCAAAGAATGTACGTGCTGCTGTTCGAAGAGACGAGTATCCCACAGGCGCAAGACTGGCTCTTATTCTCGACTCGCTATGCTTGGCAATCTTCTTGATGTTGTTGGCGATAGAATGCAAAGCCAGGCACTGAATTTCACGTCAAGTATCGAAGTTGTTGGTTGAAATGCCTTGATCTATTACGATAGAATTCCTTTGCGCTCTAGATATTACACTGGGTATATTAACATTCCTATATTCGCGGAACGCCACATCACAAGCTATAGGTACCCAACATGATAATTTTCATGGCACCTGGGTCGTCGGATAGTATTGAAGTGGCTTTCTCCTCGCCTTGTCCAACTTTCAGTCCGCCTGGGGCGAGGCGTACAAATGTTTTCTGTTGAAATGAACATACCTTGGTATCAATTGTTATTTTTAAGTGCGGCAGTTTCATTTGCGGTATGCTCCCTCTCCGTACACTTTATGACATCCAGGTCCTTAACGACCAGATTTGACAAATGGAGCGTTAAGTATCGTGTTTAGGTGTTCCTCGAGACACTACCATATTTATCGCTCGTCATCCACGGGCTGGTCTAGCAGTTGGCGATTTTATTCCCGGCTCATTCACCGTAATTGTATCTATTGCAATTCCTGAGAGAGGAGCTGCATATACTGGACTTGCTGGTTCTGCGTGGGGTGTTGCTAGTGTGATTGGCCTTTTGGTAGAAGGCCAACACATATCACATGTATTGTGACGATGGTGTATGTTAGATATTTCTGAATTTCAAAAGCCAAGGATAACCGATCTTGTCTAGGCTTAGTTATAAATCTTTCTTTTGGTGGAGCCTCGGTGGTAATAAATGCACTTGTCTTTATTGCTCCCGATACAGCAAAAGCAGTGAAAAGCAAACATTTCGCGAAAAGACCCCCAATACGAATATGATCGAATTTATCGCGATCATCTGTTCCGTCATATAATATCTACTTACTCTTCAGAAAACCAAAATTACATACCCCTGGTAGTCACCCGTGGTAAATGGACTTCTCGTGGCTCGATCCTTCTCTTCATTATCTTCATGATTGGTCCGGATCTGCTGGGGGGACTGCGACTGTTAGGCAATGGTTTGTTGAAAGACAGGACGGTTTGCGGTGGCATTGCTTTCATGCTCTTAGTAGTGCTCTGAGCCCTATCACCGCCGCCGCTCTCTTTACAACCCAAGGCATCGGTACCCACAGCTCGAAAGTAGATCTAATATCAAACCTCTTGCGGGCGTAGCATATGGCTTTGGGTATTCAAGTGTCCACAATTGCAGTGCAGGGCATTGACGTCTTCAAATGAAATATTATCCGGCAATAGCAATGATTCTTTTCTCATGGACCCCAGGAAGACCTTGCCGCTGAACCTGCTTTTGCTGAGAATTCCTGATCAAAAGCGTCACAGTCATATGATTCAATGGGTGTCACCAATGAAGGGTTGTCTCCACTGGTGCCAGGGGAATGGAGAAATGTTGTTCACTGCTGAACAATTACCAGCCCATTTTCAAGTCTTACATGGACGGTTCGAAGAAGGCCTGTATTATTGCGAGTGCAATGGTAGGTATGATTTTCCTTGTGGTATTTGGTGATAAACGCCACTACTTGAAGAAATGCAACGCCTCTAAGGCTGCAAAAGATAAAGAAAGAAGTGTGAATCGGCATGAAGATTTGGGGACACAAATGAGATATAGAAGTGACTGGTATCATTAGCAGTATTGCGCTGCTTTAAATGCACACACCGATAACATTCTTTGTTCAAGTTCAAAATTGATCCCCGACTTTTGAACGTAGGGTAGGTTAGGACTTCGTTGAAGCTCGGCATTTCCGTTATACCGAAGTTGATCCATATTTGTCCACTTTAAGCAAACGAAGATTAGTATCTTTGGACTTCAACGAACTGAACAATTTTCGGGTTATAACTGCCGGCGTGTTTTATTTGCTCGTTTTTTTTTTTCGTGATACTTGATTTGAAAGCCCTCGCATGCTGGGCTTCATTCCTCCAAGAATCTGCCGAGAACTAGCGACTGCTGGGCTGAAGTTCTTATCATTTTCCTTGGAGCTCTCAAACCAAAATTGAGATAGTCACGTTGTAGGCATCTACAAGGCATTTCTCGGGACAAAATCCTCATTAAGCAAAGTTGCCAAGATCACACGGAAAAATAATTTCTACATTCATGGTACGAAGGTACCACCCACTACTCACATAATCCACTCCTTATACGCATAAGCAAGGAATAATTAATTATTGAAGGATTTCTTGATTGTAAGATCCTTCTGTGTTGATGCGGGGAACCTTGTACTTGTATTTGGCCTCGGTTGATGACCGTTTTGGTAAACAATTGCTTGGCGATTTCCTGTATTACACGACCTGAATGAGATCAAAGGCCATTAAATTTATTTTGGTCCTCAGACATGTGAAATATACAATGTAGGGTCTCGCATAAGTTCGTACTTACGCTCTATTCGGACTTTGCTGGATGGGATTTGAGTTATTAGAACGGTATGTTCAATTTAGCCTCACCCCCGCATCCCCACACTTCCATACCTTTCAATCACACTTGCTCCCAGTAATGGGAATATATTCGGTCGTACACGCATATAGGTACCAGGGGTTCATTTTCATAACAGGAAATGATCTCTCACACGACCTCAGGACCCGACTAATCCAGAGACCACTATTTAAACTTTCCCCATCCACTCTAAAGTTCAATTTTAGAACATTGACCAATCTATTCGGATTTGGCCAGCTTATCTCTTTGGCGCCGGCAAATGCAAAAAGGTTGTGTGCCATCAAGTAAGGCACCATTCTTATGGGCCATTCGGCGATGGATTCGAGTATGTCAAGCTATGAAGAGATCAAGTTAAAAGAAAAGAAAGTGGTCAGGTGGGATGATCCTGTAGTCACTGACCGAGGAAGCACATGTTGAAGAGATAAAAAATTTACTAGATTTCCTTCTGAAAATGAGAAATAATGGAACTCTGATGTTTTGTTATAATTCGAGGGAGGATCGCAGTGGTGGCCTTCATTCTCGGTTGTTCTTCACTCATTATCCTATTTTCTTTCCGGTAGAGCCATATTCCAATTCATCAATCATCATGAAGCTCTCGCTGGTATCAATTTATGTCTCTTATGTCAACCGCATTTGCTCTTCCAGTCGAAAATGTCGAGCGGGATGTACCAATTGGAAGAAAGAGCTGCAGCTCCAACAGTAACAATTGCATCACCAGCAGCTACAATCATTGGAGGTGCTGGCGTAACTGTCGAAACCTTTGCTGGTATTCCATTTGCCAAACCTCCCATTGGTGCACTTCGACTTAAACCACCTCAACCCATCACCTCTGCGTTGGGCACAGTCAAAGCAACAGCCCAAGCAGCTTCTTGTCCTCAATTCTTCTTTAGTACTACTATTAACGATGCAATTCCTACATCAGCACTAGGCCTTCTCCTTAATACACCAGTCTTCCAAGAAGTTCTCAATGCTGGAGAAGATTGTCTGTATCTGAATATTCAAAGAACCAGTTGGTACAACCGCTTCATCTCAATTACCAGTCTTGTTTTGGATTTTTGGAGGAGGATTCGAATTGGGAGGAACAGGGATGTACGATGGATCTTCATGGGTAGCCGAAGTATTGCGGAGGGCAAACCGATTATTTTCGTCCAAGTGGCATATAGGGTCGGTGGATTTGGATTTTTGCCTGGAGCGGAGATTTTGGCGGATGGTAGTGCGAATTTGGGATTGTTGGATCAGAGATTGGGATTGCAATGGTATGTTGTTCTGTTGAAGAGTCTTAGATTCATACTAACGAAGACTCTAAAGGGTGGCTGATAATATTGCTTCATTCGGTGGTGATCCATCTAAGGTAACTATCTGGGGAGAATCAGCTGGTGCAATCTCAGTCTTTGATCAAATGGCTTTATATGGAGGTGACAACACATACAAGGGCAAATCATTATTCCGCGGAGCAATTATGAATTCAGGAAGTATCGTCCCAGCAGACCCAGTCGATTGTCCAAAGGGACAAATCATCTACGATATGTCGTAGCCTCAGCAGGATGTTCAGCTGCAGCCGATACTCTAACTTGCTTACGAGGCGTGCCCTATTCCACACTTCTCAATGCTACAAACTCTGTTCCTGGCCTCCTTAGTTACTCGTCTATCGCACTATCATATCTTCCTCGTCCAGACGGTACCGCTCTCACCAAATCCCCCGACCTTCTCCTCGCGTCAGGAAACTGGGCAAAGGTCCCTTTTATAATTGGCGACCAAGAGGATGAAGGAACAATCTTTGCTCTTTTCCAGAGTAACATCTCCACAACCGCTCAACTTACAACCTATTTCTCCGATTTCTTTTTCCATAACGCACCTACCTCCGTTATCACCGGGCTTCTCAACACATACCCCAATGACTTGATTTCTGGTTCCCCTTTCGAACCTTCCTGTTGAACAATTGGTATCCCCAATTCAAACGTCTAGCCGCCATCCTCGGAGATCTCACGTTCACTCTCACTCGTCGTGTATTTCTTCAAACCGCACTGAAAGTCGCACCAACTGTTCCCTCCTGGTCTTATCTCTCATCCTATGATTACGGAACCCCTGTTCTCGGCACCTTCCACGGCTCAGATATTTTACAGGTCTACAACGGTATCAACCCAAATTATGCGGCTAGTGCTAGTAAAGCATATTATTTGAGTTTTGTAAATACTTTGAACCCAAACAATGGGACGAGTAGTGCATATGCGAATTGGCCGCAATATAGCAATGGAGCAAAGTTGCTAAATTTGTATGCGACTTTCGGGGGATTCATAAGTGATAATTTCAGGAGTACGAGCTTTGATTATATAGTGGCTAATTTGCCGAGCTTTTATATTTGAGCGGGTGATGAATGGATTGATGAGGAGGAATTAGTAAAGGATTTTTGGGCGAGGTTGGAGTTTGAGGGGAAGAAATGAGAGAGATATGAGTGACGAATAAGAAAAGCAGAGTTCGATTTTGTTTAATAATATTAAACCATCTAACTCCATATAATGTTAGAATGTTTTTTCGGGGTCGTGGAATCTTATAGAAAGTGAACTATTCGTTGCAAAACCACTCACCGAATATGCAAGGAGAAATGCTCTAAGGGAATACAAGTGAAGCTTAAGAATAATAAGGCACCAATGAGTTACGTTGTCAGCTAGAAAGTAGTTGTTCTTGATTTCACCAATCATTAAGCTCAGTCACTTATACTTTGTATCGTGCGAAATGAGAAGCTCTAGATCTTATATATAATCACGGATTAACCTTTAAATAAACCGAAATTCCTACATGTGAGATCACGTACATCGTCTGTTAAGGATCAGAGCTAAGGGGCGTTGGTACTACCATGACGTAACTCGCTTGTGAAAAACAGAGAAAGCTTTGCCCTTGAATTTCGTCTTGGATTTTGTAGCATGAGTTTGAAAGATTGAAGTGACTTTTGGCACAGCAAAATGGGACGATTACGTTTGAATATTAGGGTTCGTAGCAGAAATGCAGTATTCTCGTCCCGAAAATGATCACCACATACATTTCACGTGATAGCTAAGCGTATAGCATATACTCATTTATTGATCAAGTTTGCCTTGCGACACTCTTACAATTTCCTTCTCAAAAAAAAGTTCGAACTTTGTCAGATCCCATCATGACTATCGTAACACTCCTCACTCATCCTCTTCCCCTCTTCTTTGCTAACATTCTTCTCGCCAACCTGACCGCAGTCCATACCACAACTCGCAGTGAACGCCTTCTAGCTTTCGCGCTGAGCGTATTCCTCTCTTACATCGCACTGTCAAACTGGAATGAACATGTCAATACAACAGGCTGGGCCGGTCGCTTTCTAGCCAGTGGTTCTTTTAATATGCCCAATGTTATATTCGATCGGTTTATTATTCGAAACTGGCAATATGGAAAAGACGACTTGAGACGCAAGAGCATCGGAGGAGAAAATGAAAGGGAAGAGAAGAAACAAACAAAATCGAAATGGGGATAAATGGTAGTCGGAAATACTAGATATATCGGCACTTCGCTGGAGGTTTCCAATGTCCCGTTTTTCAATGCAAAGGATACTATTCTTGGCCCGACTAGATGGAGATTTTGTTTACATCATACTACTGTAATCGTCGCCCTGTATTTTTTGAATACGGCTGCTATTGATGGACAACTAAATGTAAATCAGAAATGGATGAGCGATGAAAATATTCCATGGTTTGGAAAAATGTTTGGTGACGGTATCCACAATCTTCGAGACCAGATTATCACCAGAGTCACCATCAGTATTCTTTACTGGGTGTGCCAGTTTTGTTATCTTCAGTTTTTCTTCTCGGTCGCTGCGTTATTGGATGTTGGACTTGGTGGTGGAGAGGTAAGGCAGTGGAGACCTTTCTTTGGGGAAGCCAGACATGCTTACACGATTAGAGGATTCTGGGCGTAAGTTTTCTGATTTGTTTGATGAAGTTCCAATACTGAGAAAACAAACTAACATTCATGCAGCAAATCCTGGCACCAAAATATCCAACTCACCATCAAAGGTCCCGCCGAGTTTATCACTCACACCATCCTCCATATTCCTCGATCAACCCTCATCGCTCGCTACCTCAAGATATTCCTTACATTTGCAGTCTCAGGCGCAACACATGTAGCCGCAGATTATGGAAGTGGTATCTGCCCAGCACAATCCGGTGCAATGTCATTTTTCTGTGCACAGTCCCTAGGTATCATGATTGAAGATGAGGTTCAGGAAATTTGGAGACTTATGGGCGGAAAGAAGAATACTTTGTTGGGGAAGATAATTGGTTTTATTTGGGTATTGGTGTTCATTTGTTGGTCTAGTCCCGTTTGGGTTTTTCAATTTGCAAGAACTATGCGGAGGGAAGATATGTTGCTGACGTTTGGAGCCTTGAAGCCGTTGTTGGTGGGTCTTAAATTCTGGTGATGGGTTAAAGTATTAGGTGGTAGATACACCTAAGTTAGAATTAAGAATGGCATCTATAGTGGCCAGTGAGGCATATAATTCGTGGATTGCCATTGAGAAGATCATAAATTGATCGTCAAGAACAATTAGAGAGATGTTTAGAACTTCACCTCAAGAAATAACAAAAATGGGCAGGATACTGTCAATTTACGTATCGCAGTTTTGGGCTCATGACACGCCACGATTGGATGGAATGATTATCAAGGATAAGATCAGATGTTTTATAATAACATGATATAATAGAATGATATTTCCGAACTTTCTATGCCTCTTTCACTGTCATTGGCGTACTCATTGTCTATACTTCATTTCTACTTGTTGATCTCGTCTACCGATTCTGTCAACAACGGTCACTAAGGTTTTCAAGCTTTGTTATTATACTATAAATATTAAATATATTAATAAATAGGAATTCAGTTTGTTTTTAATCTATACATAAATAAATTCAAATAAGAATTCGAATTCAAATTTAATAAAGGATTTAAGATAGAAATATAATAAAAAGATTAGTTAGTAATTTTTAATAGATTCTAATTAAAGAACTTAACTTAGTTCATTAGTATATAGACTATATTACTATATGAGTCATTTTATTTTATATATAGAATTCGTCTATGTATAACCATACACTTTCTTTATTAGTTAATATAATTCTTCAAAAACTTTTTATATAATATCACAATATAAGAGATAGGTACTAGATAAAATATATAATATTCTATAAAGAGTAAAGAAAAAGATAAAGAGATGCCGATTATATAAAGAATAAATATCTTAGATATTTATATAATTATATATTAATTCTATAATAGTACCTTCTTTTAAGGACTTATTTATTCTAAGCAAATTAAATCATTATATAGTTTACTATTATATATAAATTAAATAAATAATTAAATTTGTTAAATTAATAGCTTAAATATTTTATATTAATTTAACTTTTCTTTTATAAATTGATCTTTAAGCTTTCTATACCTTCTCTAAGTATTTTAATATAGATAATAAAATTACCTTAATTTTAGAATTATTCAATATTTATTTTAATAAATCAGACTTTTTAGGGTATATATAATAATATTTTACTAATAATTTTTATTTTCTTTCAAATTTACTATTAATTATTAAATAAAAGTATAATAATTTTATTTGATTAAATAATAATGATCATTTTTATTATAATTATCTATAACTTCTTTAAAGATCTATTTTTATACTAATTTATTTTCGTTATTATTTTTTTTTAAATTTTTTTTTTTAATAATAATTGATTTTAATTTATTGATTATAATTTATATTAAAAAATATATTTTGTTAATTATAAAAATAAATAATGAATAATGAAAAGCAAGAAATATTTAAATATTGTTTAATAATTGAATAAGATAAAAATGAGGATAAACTTTTATAATCTTATATGGTTTTATTTATTAATTATTTAATTTCTTTGCTTTTCAAAAGGTTTTTATATTCTTAATATTTATAAACATTTTTTGGTTTATATAATAATATGATGAGTTAATATAATGCTGATTTACATTTTCTTTATATATTATAATTATTTGCCTAGCAAAAGCTTATAGTTATAATAGAATTCTTTTTATTCTATTCATTATTTTATTATCCTTAAAAAACTCTCATTTTTATATTATAGTTATATTTGATGAGTAAGATTTATTAGGTTTTATACTAATATATGAATTAAATTTATAATTAATAAAGAATAACAAATAGTTAATAATCTTCAAAATTATATTATTCAATGTGAATTTAATAAAAGATAACCACTATATTTAATTATTCTAATAAAAATTTAAAAATACTTATAAATATTACTTAAAAACAAAATTTATTTATTCGATTTATCTATCTATTTATAAATAAAATATTAAAAAGTGTTAAAAAGTTATAATTAATTGTTTAATTAATTAAAACCAAAAATCAAATATAAACTATATATTATAATTAAAAATAATATTATCTAATAGATTATATAAAATATAAATATAATTAATAAAAATATCAATAAGTTTTTTTATTATAAACACTCTAATTTTTATAAAGTGTTTTATTTTAGTTAATTGATAAAAAATAATTAAAATATACTTATATATAAAATTATAATAAATATAATCTAAAAGTAATATAATATAATTTATTAATATATTACATTAGGTTTGAAAGAGAATTAATAATAAATATAGGAATTTAATTGGAATTAATTTTAATAATTTTATATATATATAAAATCATATATTTATATATATAAAATAATCTTCTAATATATTTATAATTATTAATATATATGAAAAATAAAATCGATTGTTTTAATTCAACCTAAATGCCCAGCTGAATTAAATAAATATATTCTATAAATGATTTGTATTTTTAATTTATTATTTAATAAAATCCATAATCTCTCTCAATAATATATTTTATTATTTATTACATAACAATCTTACATAATAATTCAAAGTATTTTCCTAAATTCTACTAATTATTTACATATATACTAATCCTCAATTACTATAATAAATTAATGAATTATATTTAATCTTTTATAAACATTATTAATTAATTCATTAATTAATTTATTCTCTATAAATATTATAAGGTCTATTAAAATTAAGTAAATATTAGCTTTTAATTTATTATAAAGATTAATATTGAATTTGTTTACTAATAAAATTATATATTTTTTATTTTTTAAATATTTATTATCTTTAATTATAAAGTTTGATTTATTCTTATTTTTTCAACTTAAAATATCTAATTGAATAATTTTAAACCCTGATTAATAAACTATATAAAAATTATAATAAAAGAGGAATTTAAATTAATAGATTTATTGTTAATTTAAACTTTTTATTATAATAAAATACTTTA